CTCGAGGAGCTGCTGGAGATCAGTGTGGTCCTCGAGAAGATCGAGTTCTTGCACGAGCTCACGCCCGAGCAGGGGGTAGGTGCGAAGCTGACCTTGACGTTGCTCTCGTGGTGGGCCTCGAGGAAGTTCCATGCGAGGTCGATCTGGAAGGAGACGCGCCTCGCGATGGCTATCGCTATGCACGGCCTCGCCGGCCACCAGTTCATGTACTTGGCGAACACGATCTCCCACCCGCTCGAGAACCGGCCACTGCGGCAGCACCACGACCAACATCGACACGACGAAAAGCGGAGGACCAGTGGGGGGTTAGAGAAAGGCTGTGACAGCTTTCGGGCACGAGAAACCGAAAAAAAACTCTCAAAACATACAAAAAAAATGAGTACGGACTTGACACAAGCACACTGATTAATTGTCTGTCACACAATCAAAGTCACAGAAAAAAATGGGGGGCAAAACCGACTCGCGATGCCCCCACGTCTTTTAGCACCTCTTACCAAATAGCGAACACATCGTTGAACGTCACCGGTTCCACCGCTTCCCAGTATCCCGAACCCCACCAACCCCACCAACAAAAAAAGGACAAGCACGTAAGGAGAACGCACCTGAGCTCCGACCAACCGTCAAGCTCGCCCCCCTTGTCCACCTTGTCGTGAGCCATGTTGATCGACTCCGTCAGCACGCGAAGCCCTGCGTGTCCGTGTGCACCACCAAAGAACAGAGGACACGACACAGGGAGGTTTTCACACCATTCGGATAGACGGGATGCACGGTGAGTTCCACGGAGGGGACGGAGGATGGGAAAGACTTTTGGCAGAGTGTTAACGTGCGGCCGGTGGCCAAAAGTCCTTGAAAATAACGATTTTTCCTAATGTTGAGACCATATTGTGGACAAATTTCAGCTCATCAACGAGCATTCCAAAGCAATCTTGTCGAGCGCAGCAGCAGTAGTCCGCTTTCTTACACATTGCCAGAAACCGGGTCAACAACACCACAACACGAATACTTATCACGATACTGTAGGAGGAATCGAAAGGGGCCAGACATGGAGCACGACACATCAACGAAGATTCATCACGGATTTCGTGCACGGCACGGATTATCCCCAAAAAAATGCTTGTTGAACCCGGCTCCGCACCACTTCCTGTATCTTTCTCGCTCTCCCCCTCTTTCTCTGTCTCTTGCCTGAGCTGCCGAGCTTCCCCTCGCGCTTGGCCTTGAAGTACTCGGCCTTCAGGCTCTGCAGGAAGCGAAACCTGGCCTCCAGTAGCTCGCTACTCGCGCCGAAAGAACAGCCAAACAACATTCGGTGTCCGGTGGAATCAATCCCCACCAAGAGTAAAAACGGTGGATGAGTTTCGTCCAATCGATCCAATGGTACAGTATCGAGAAACGGAGTGAGTAGGGATGGCAACGTCGAAGGAGGCATGGTAACCGCGTGTGCAAGGGTGGGGGGTGCCGCAGATGACTTTCGCGGCGCCTTAGGGGGGTTGGTCTGCTCGATCGCAGGAATGCTTCGGACATGAAGACTGGTAGAGATAGGTCGGACTGGTGGGGAGCGACGCGTGGAAAACCATCATGGGGAGGTTCGCGGCAGCCAGAAGAAAAAAATACCCCACTATCTACACACCGACGATTTAGGCCACAAATCGCCGACAACACTCATAAAACCACACCCCCGACAACGACAAATGCCCCTGTATCAGTGTTCTCTTTAAGAGGTGCGCTGGTGCGGCCCCCCACTTTTCTCGAAGGAAAGTTGGGAAATTGGAGCGGACATTTTTCGCCGAAGGTGAAGATAACGTGGGCGGCATTATGTCTCACCGGAGCCGAGAAATAATATTTGGGTCTTGCCGTCAGGCGAATTTCGAGTGGCAATTTGTTCTCATTACCCTCTTGACGGATTCACCTCGAAAACAAGCGAACTACCACGCATTTATATCACACATGAGTGATTTTCTGCAAAAAAAGCCGAATACAATATTCCGATTTTTTAGGCGAGGCGGTGCGCAGCAGCACCAAGGGCCTGCGGCCCTAAGGAGAACGCTGCCCCTTGTACCTCTTGGCGACAATACAGCAAAGACACAGCAAAACAACAACAGCAACAGCAACAACAACAACGGCAACGAAGACAAGCACCCTTGTACCCCTTGTCCCCAAACAACAAGAACAACAACATCACACGACGACGACGACGATGACCACCCCTGGACCACTTCGCCAAAAAGGAACAACCAAAAGGCAAACAGCAACAAGGACAACAGCCGCTGCACACACCTCTTGTCGATCCCCTGATCGTTGAGGCCGTCCTTGTCCTGCCTCCCGTGGTCGTGGGTGTGGCTAAGGCTGATCCCCGCGTTCTGGGCGAACGTCGCGGCCCGCTGGAACATGCGCTTGCTCATGCTCCCCTTCCTGCCCTTAACGTCGTTCTGGTCGTGGTCCTCGCCCTCGAAGGAAGCCATCGGACTGGTGGGTGACCCCGCTGCCGCCCCGGCCTCCGCTATAAAAGTTTGTCGGTGCGGCAAAGCAAGAAAAGGTGTGAGGCGTTTTATTGCCGCGGGTCAAGGCGAACAAGAGGCACGTTAGTGTTGAACAGTAGTAGCGAGAGCAGCAGCGATTTGCGCAGGCGACAAAAGACTCGTCAGCACTCAAAGAGTATAACTTAACCAGCGAGGGAACCAAAAACAATAATGGGCCCTCGATGACGCATCGAACGAGGTGGAAACCCGAGAGGCTGGAAGGACGCGGGGGACATGTCCAGTCCTACTACCGCCAGGAAGAAATCAATGCGGTAGTCTGCGCAGGTTTTTCCACGAAAGAAAGCACATCGGATAAAGCATAGAATCGCCTGAGTTGGGGTTTGGAACAAGGTTGGGGGTTGGGGTCTGCATGCCCCCTGCCTGGAACTATTTCGTAATAAATTTACTTTGTTTGCGAAGGCAGTCCAAGCAATGCGGCGGGATAATACTTACACTAATGCTGGTGGGAACGAGAGGCTTGTCGCGTTTTGTATGATTGAGGGATGCAAACAAACACGAGGCAGGAAAACGGACCACACACTGTATCCGTGCTTACACGAGAGATCGATAAAACTACCCACTATTGTACCAAGGACCAGAATCACCAAACGAGGCACCAAACGAGGCTAGTGCGCACAAACTTTTTAGTTGGAAACAGGCAAAGGCACAGACTAAAGACGGGACGTTTTCTTGCGACCAAGGCTGGTGTGGAGAGAGAAATGCGCAACGGATATAGGGGGAAGGCAAAAACTGGTTCTGTTACGAGGATGAAAAGCAATTCGCCCGGGCGATACGAAGTGGGTTGTTTCAGGGGTCTCTGAGGGCTTTGTCCCCGCTTTTGCGGCGCAATTACCTATTTCCAACACAGGCCGATCAACACTGCTGTTGCTCGACCTATCTCACGCACACACTTGCTGAACTCAACCACTGCTTCGATCTCTGCAAACGAACTGGTGTTCTGACACTCAAGCATGCCCCTGCCTTGCTGCCCGGAGTAGCTCTGTTTCTTCTGAACTAGTGCGCGCGCGGCAGCGCGGCTACGAAACACCAAATCCGTGTACACGTCATCACGGAAACAGCCAGTTGAGCCGCAAAAACGGGGACCAAGAAAAAAAAAAAAACTGAAACGACCCCACTGCGTACCACATCCCTACATGCGTATGTGTGCAAGCACCCGTCTCTGTCATACCGTAAATGACACAAGGTAACACACCCCCTGGACCAATTTTCAAATCTCGATTTCTCAACAGCAGAAAGACTCACGGCGCCGAAAACCGTGGCGTTGAAGCTGGCTCGCTGAGAGCTTTCCGAAAATGTACTGTTTATACATCCTCTTTGTCGTGGCGTAAGCGAGATATTAAAATTGGTCCAGGGGGTGTGTTATCTCGTGTCATATAAGGTAGTCACCGCCGACGGGGTCGTGTATGTGCAAGTGTGTGAGTGAGCCCACGTTTATCATGCATGACCGGACTCCAATCTGATTGTCGATGGTGAGCAGACACATCACTGTTCGCGTACGCCAGTGCGCCTGAAATCGACATAAACACCACTCTACGCAAAAGGAGAATTGCAACAGAACACGCGAGTTGCGATAAGTCACCCGGCAGAACAACATGACTTATGGGGCATGACACCGCCGCATTTTCAGCGCAACGGCTTCAACTTCACACTAAACTGTTTTCCCCCAACCGGTTGACAGTACCTGCTGGACGCCTGCGGGAACAAGAACCACACAATAACAAAAAAAAATTACAGCAAGAAACCACCCGCAACAATGGATTGATTCATTCGATCAGCGTTCCCTCCCGATCGATACACCCACTTAGCCTCGGTCCTGGGGTTCAGGCGCGCGGGTGAGACTAGAGCTACAGGGCAGCGACACCCATTGGCACGGCCGTGCATCCTTTTACCTTTTTCCGTGGTGGTAGTAGCAGCCGTCGTGCCCGTCGGTGTGTCCAGGGACGTCCCGGCCGCAATTGGATTGTTGGGCGAGCGGGAACACTCTGCTGCGGCGACACCAAAAAAAGAAAAGAAAGCGGGTCGGTATGATTCTGTTTTTCTTGCACGCTACTTTGGTGGACGGGGATCACGGCATGCTCGCTCGAGTGACCATAATAGCGGAAACCGTTTCGAGGCTGCTGCTGTTGTTCTCCTTCTTCTTCTTGCTGCCATGCTTGGTGGGATTTTTTTGTCCTCTTTCGACAAAAAGATACCATGCGAAAATCTGAGCAGCCGCAAGACACCGGAAGGAAAAAAAAAAAAAAAGGCTTTCTCATCATAGCAGGTTCGCAAAAAATACATTGCCGTTGACAAGAAGGAATGCGGCTAACCATGTGACCTGCGTCATGACCAATTGCCACCAGCTTGTGTGGACTACGGATCACTTGGCGACTAGTTAGCGCACAAGTACTGCAGGAAGTGAAAAAGACATGTTTTCGCATATGTAGACAAAGGTGAATCGACATACAAAAGGATAAACCGGGGGGCAGACCTAAATTATCAGTGTCCTTGTCTCGCTTGATGACCAACTGATGTCGAGGCTTGCTTTGTGCGGTCTTCCGAGATGGGAAATCCGGTCATTGTGCTGGTCGGCATTGAGCAGAAACAAAATATTCTGGTCGATTTTTTGTCCTACAGATCACAGTAGGCTGTGCGCAGCTATTGATGCCCACCGCCCTCTGTCCCGGGGTACTGACGTGGTATACTCTACCCCTAACCTTCGTGTTTCTCCTCTCCGCGTGCCCCCGCAGGCTTATGTGTCTTCTCCCTGGCATGGTCGTGTGTGCGGCTGAACTTGTCGATGGTTCCGGTAATGCCTCCGTCGAAACGGCTGTGCTTGAGGTGCCCGGTCCATGACTCCACAGAATCATCCCCGGCCGCGGTGTGATTCTGAAACGTTCGGTAAGGAGCGAACCGCAACAAGAATTGGAGACCAAATAATAATATTACACCATACCTACAATATACCCTCAAGCTGAACTGACGGCGAAAAAAACGCAGGGATTGCTTCCGAACATGAGGGATGCATGTTCCCGACGGCGTGGTTCTGACAACAGCACTGCGGCAGGAATGAGGATGAAGAAGGAACAATATTCGATGTCGCCCACATCGACAGCAACAACACACAAATTCTGGACATCCACCACTACAGCCACAGCCACAACAACGCCAGCAGCAGAAGCATCAACAACAGCAACAGCAAAAACAGAAGCAGCAACAGCAGCAACAACAACAACAACAAAAACAGAAGCAGCAACAGCGACAACAACAACAACAAACACCACCAACACCGCCACGACAACAGCAACAACCAAAGGATCAGCGACAATCGAACCAAAGAGGCCGCGTTTCTCACCGCCAGGAAGGACTCTAGGTTGCCCCACACGGCCTCCCCGCCGGCGTCAGCGAAGAGGAACTTGGTGTGGTACTCGTACCAGGGGGACCTCAGCCTTCCACACAAAGAGTAACAAAAAGGGCGGAAGGGGCACCGGTCGAGGGGGATTCCAATTATCCCCGCACACTCGATGATCACGTCTGCCGCTGCGTTATCCTACCATTTGACACATGGAAGCAGCCCACATTAGATATGCATTTCCGATTTTTCTTTTCTCGTGTTGGAGGTAGACAACATGAAAGCAGCCCGCATTGCATACCGTGGCTCACGTGCGATTCATATACTATTACTTCGTATGTACAAGGTAAAATCATACGTAAAAAACTGCCATATTTTAACGCGTTTGCTGCCATATTTTACCGCGTTAGCTGTCTACCCACCGGTGTGGAATCCCGGAGTAGGAGAAACCTCCCTTCCTCTCCCGGAACCACGCCTTGAGCACTTCGAAGAAGCTGCGGTGGTGGTCGCCCAGCTTCCGAGCACGGTCGTTCGTGTCTCGGATGTCCTCCAGCTACACCAGGGTGTGATTTGTGATATTTGTTTTTCAGCACAGGCGAGGCACGAAGGGAGTGCGAGCCAAAGACGTCGATTGTTTGGGCGGAGATTCGATTTTCCGGAATAGTATCACCGAGGGTATGATACAGCAGCCGTTCGACTCAACAACAAGATAGCCACCCAAACAGAAACACCGACGGCGACCAGAAACAGCAACAGCAACACAAAATGAAGGTAACACAAACAGCACTACCAATGACAACGACAACGACAACGACAAGGACAACGACCAAAAACAATAACAACAACTTTCCATACATTGTACCTCATCAGCGGAGAGTGTGATATGCCCCTTGGACAGCCTGGTGAAGAACGACTCCGCCGTGAACAGGGGGAGGTACCTGAAGCAGAAAAAAAAAAACGGAAAAAGCAGCAAGGGGGTGTAGAACATCACCAGAGGCATGGCCGTAGTCTCCAAACTGGCAGAGCTTCGTATTATCCCCGGTACTGCGAAGGCATGCTGCGCCGCGGATTGAAGGCGATTCTGCTCTACCAGAGCTGCCGAAAGACCGGGGGAATCCGCTGGTACGGTAGAAAGCAGATGATCAGATGAGGCACAGAAGCAAGGCAGGCCAAGACGTCAAGCACCAATCGGCGGCAGCAGTGAGGTATCCTGTCAGAAAAAACGCTTCGCGGGACTCGGGCCTCACTCTGTCGGCAGGTTTCTTCACACCGCGACAAACACTTCAATGCACTTGCGACAACAGCCCTATCACAATAGGCGACAGGACGCACTTACAACTACAATGTAGGGCCAAGAAAAAGCCACAGATGAAAAACCATGCGCACCGACACCGAGATACATCGCGCGCCGCATACTCGAGTATCTCGTGAGACACTTTTTCCGCGTCCAGATTTCCATACCGAAAACGCCTTCCCATCTTCGGTTTCGTCACCAACCCATCACGGACAACAAAAAACAACGATACACACGGCCCGCCACCACTACCACCAAGGACGACGACGAGGACGACTGCAACGACGTACCTCCAGACGAGGTTCCAGTTGGCGTCGCACAGGAAGGGGTCCTCCTTTAGAAGCTGTTCCTGTTTCTGCATCGACAACTCCAGCGCGAAGCAGGCCTGCCCGAAAACGCCCTGGGAGGCCTCGGAAGCCCTGTGGGGGTAGTCGGGCCCCCGCAAATAATATACAACAATCCGGACGGGGGAGGGGGGGGGGGGGGGGGGGTCGATATCGGATATCGAAAACATTTGAACTTTTCGATATTTCGATATATTTCGATATCGATACGACAAGTCGATAAATACTCCACGGAACCCCTGATGTTCCACACGGAACCTCCACAGCTGCACACCACACAGCACACAGCAGCTGCACGCAGTGAAATGCGCGCATTCAACGAAGTAGCTGCAGCTACTATATATCCACTTATCTCTCATTGTTGTGAGAGCTTTGCTCTTCTTCTGCGAAAAGCAAGCTTGCTTTTTTTGTTGCGGCGTTGCGAAATACCGCTGAGCTTTCCTGAGCAGCAGTCAG